ATTTCTTCAACTTTACCTCTCAACCCTATCATACTTTCCATTTCTGCTCTTACTTTAAGAGTTCCTGTTTTAGTTCTGGAACTCAACTTTGTTTTGTGTGTTGAAGTGATGGGGACTGGGCATGGGGTCTTATACATATTGGTTAAGTGCTCTACACTTAAGAGTATACTAGTTGTGAGCTACCAATGTCATTTTTGTGTGCTTATTTCTGAGGCAAGGACTCTATGTAACCATGGATGGCCCCAAACACAATATTCTTGCCTCAGTTTCCCAAGTTCTGGGATTACAGTCATGTACCACTACAATCTCCTCTATTTCCTCACCTCCCTGCCCCAAGAAAAACTGGAGAGATGGATCATGATTAAGAGCACTGAATGCTCCCCAGAGGACCTGGGTCAACTCTTAGTACTCATAAGGTGGCCCATAAACCATCTGTAACTCCAGTTTCAGAGGATCTGATGCTCTCTTCTGGCCTCTGTGGGTACTAAACAAGAGGTGCATATATATACATGCAGGTAAAACATCCACACATATAAATACAAATTCAAATTTATCTACAGATGCTGACTCTCCTGAAGTCAGCTGCAGTCTTCATTGTTTTCTTCAGTACTTTTGTTCTGACCTATGTCTCACTCTGGACATTTCCCTTAAACATTCGGTATCCTTGGATGGGATTTCATAGCCCACTGAAGTGTGGCAGAACAAGCAGGTTGCCGTCTCTTAGCTCTGTAGTTAACAACTACCACCTCACACTGTTAAACTATATAACAAGAACATAACTTAACCGAGTAACTCTAAAGAGTTGGTATTTGTATGTATATATGCTTTGGGACTGTTTACTACTTCTAAAGCTCCAGTTTTCTCTTGTGTTTTCTGGGGAAGGGGAGTAAGTGATTTTATCATATAGCTTGAAACTTTCACACATCTCCAATTTTAATCTTTATCTCATCCCCATCATATTCTATAGCTATTTCTGCATTCAGACTATCTCTAGTTCAGTTTCTTTAGAAAATTAAAAAGAATCTGATTTCCCTGAGTGTATAGAGAGCTCAGTGGTAGAATGTTAGTACCTATTAGGTCCTGGGTTCAATACCCGGCCCTGCAAACAAACAAAGAAAAAAGTCTCAAGAATCCACATACACTAACAACAAAAAAGCGTTGGCCATATCTGGCAATCTGGAGTTTGAGGCAGGAAGACTAAAGGTTTGAAGCCAACCTGGGCCACATAAGGAGCTGTCCTGTGAGAGTGGGGCAGGGTATGGGAACAGGAAATTTCAGGTCTCTTATATTTTGTTGGAGGTGAATAACGCATTGAAAGAACAGTTTGCCATCTGCTACCGGTGATCATGATTCAGGAACAGAGAAGTGGACCACTACTGACTCATGTATAGAATCCAGCAAGCTCCAGTGGTCCTCCTGTCTCTATCCTCACAGTGTTGGAGCTACAGATGCACATGGTCATGCCCAGATTTTTTATGTGGGTGCTGGAAACTAAAAGGTTCCCATATTTATACAGCAATCACTTACCCACTAAGCTATTTCTCCAGCCCCAAGCTTTAATTATTTTTAAACATTATTTATTCATTCAGAAATCTGAATAAAGCTTGTAAGAGTTAGTTTTCTTTTTCCATCACGTGGGTTCCATCTCATGGGCCCTGGCTTTAATTTTTAAAGTTAAATCTGATTTGGAATAAAAATTAGCCGGGCAGTGGTGGTGCACGCCTTTAATCCCAGCACTTGGGAGGCAGAGGCAGGCAGATCCCTGTGAGTTCGAGGCTGGGCTGGACTGACAGCCTCCAAAACAATACAGAGAAACCCTGTCTTGTAAAACCAAAAACAACAAAAAAATATTAATCTTCGACTCATACATTTACTAAATTTCCTACTATGTCCTATGTAATGGGAACACAAAATGAAAATATGATTTTACCTTCAAGCTGCTCAATATTCCTAGTTTCACAGTCTTTCTTAACTGAGTATCCTCATTTGAATCTCAGAACAAAAAATACAGACCAGAGTCTAGAGAGATCGTTTAAGAGCACTGGCTGCTCTGCCAGAAAGTTCAGTTCACAGCTCACAACCATCTGTGCTTTCAGTCTGGGATCCAGCGCCCTCTTCTGGCCTCCACAGACACCAGACATGCACACAGTACATACACATACACTAAGGCAAAACGCTCATACACATAAAATGAAATAAAGATAAAATACAGACTACTCAATTCTCTCTAAAATAGTATATATAGCTAGAACGAGACATGCATGGAAAGATTCAAATTTTTCACATACAATAGATGCTTGAGCACAGGTATCATTGGTATATAGAACTCCTGTTGGGAAAAGCAAACTGGAAAGTAACAAGTAGACTGTTCTTAAGTTTGTTTGGTTCTTAAGTACAATGGTTAAGAGGTAGAAACAATTTAAAACTGTGATAAAATTATAAGAAAATATTAAAATAAAAATTATCTAAAAAGAATCTATGAAATATACTTAGTACTGGGCTCACTAATAAAATTACTTTTAGAAAGACTGTGTATTTAGGGCTGAAGCTCAGCAGTAAAGTGCTAGCTTTAGCCCAGGGCAGGAGCGAAGACGACAACCATGGCAAAGAAGATGTACTTGTCAGAGAAATTAGCAGTTGACACTTACTTAATGCTTATTATACACCACATACTGTTCATATCAACTAACACATATGGTTTTCTCCCTCCCAACCCCGAGACAGCGTTTTTTTGTGTAACAGCTCTGTCTGTCCTGGAACTCACTTTATAGAGCAGGATGGCCTCAAACTCACAGAGATCCACCTGCCTTTGCCTCCTGAGTGCTGGGATTAAAGGCATGTGCCACCACCGCCCGGCATCATATATGGTTTCCTTAATCCTCAGCATCATACTTTATAGGGTTATTATTCTTTTTGCAAATCGATAAGACATTGAGTTAAGAGTTATATGACTTGTTCAAGGTGAAACATGTTAAGATGTCATAGAGGAGGATTCAAAGCTAGTTCAATTGGCTCCGGACATGAGCTTTAAAGCTTTATCACATGAAATCCTTTCACAAGTGACCAAATACTGTCCTCCTAATGGAAATGAAGTAAGGCTATGTTGAAGGCATAGAAGGACTAGTATGAATCTATGAGAGAGAGGTATGTCCCACATAAAAGTACAAGAGGCTAAAGTGAAAACTACAGCTGCAAATAGATTTTGAATGGAAAGATAGAAGAGCTCTACTTGTTTAGCCAGATTGAGACAAAAAAGGAACATTTTAGATCTCCAAGTGTCCTGAATAAAATGTAATTTCTATTTAAATGATGGAAAAAAAATTAACTCACCAAAGAAAATAAAAGAGCTTCAGGACAGGTAACTGAGTACCACCAAAAGACCTAAGAACTAGCCTGCAATTTCACTTTTCATTAAAAACTAAAAAATTACTACATTAAGGGTATACACCCTCACTTTAAAAAACAGGTAAATATGTAAAACACACAGTTTGAGAAAAGAAAGTTTTGTCATACCTTTTTGGTGCTGTGGCAAACTTCAAAATTTTCTGTAGAAGCATTTTCTCACAAATTTGGCTTTATAGAACAAAGGAATGGTAGGTCAAGCTGCTAGGTCATTTCTAATATTGTCCCTATAAACTGGCATTTCTAAATAGTCAGGTATTAACATAATGATTATTTTAAACTAATAAAAACAGTTTAATGACATCCTGTGACAAAAACAAAACTAGTCTGTTACTGAAAGAAAATGGTAAATTATATTTTAAAAGACTACATAAAAGATTGCAACCTTTATTCCCTTATCAATGCCCAATTCTCTTCTTATTACTATCATTACTATCTACGAGGGTTTAAAAAAATATTTCTCAAAGTTCCATTAATTGGTTGATCTGGCCATGTCAAGGCAGAAAACCATGCTAAATTATCCTTACTGAAACTGACACATTTGTCTTCTAGTTGGCAGTTTTTAAATTTTTTTAGTGACTCTGCTCTAGCACAATTAAATTTCTCGAGTAATATTGGGTCATATAACTTGTTTCATTTTACCTTATGGCCACAGAAAGCTAAGTATACACTCCCTTTGTATAGGAAAGGACTCTTTCCAGCTCTGAACCGTTAGGATTCTAACACTATCTTTACCAAAAGACATATACTTCTTCTTTTTTTTTTTTTTTTTTTTTTGGTTTTATGAGACAGGGTTTCTCTGTATTGTTTTGGAGGCTGTCAGTCCAGCCCGGCCTCAAACTCACAGAGATCCGCCTGCCTCTGCCTCCCGAGTGCTGGGATTAAAGGCGTGCGCCATCACTGGCCGGCAAGACATATACTTCTTTAACACAATATTCATATATTCATTTACTCAGAACACAGAAAAATAAATGCTGTTCAGATAGATGAATGGATAGATAGATGACAGATACATAGAGATAGACAGACTGTTTTGTTTAAAGCAAATGAAAATGGCATGTGGGTCTGGCACTAACTACTTTTTACAAGCCAATCCCTGATGTACAACCTGAAAGTAAGAAACCAACTATTTAAAATGTAAGTCAGAGGCTTACTTAAAATAAAGCTGTTTTCAACCTTTTATCTTTACAATGAATTTATTCTAACTACAAGCAATTAAGACTCAATAAGGTGCTAAATGTATACATAGGAATCAAAACTTGAAAAATGGGGAAATGGGAGGGTTCAAAGTTAGAGCAGAGATGACGTAGGTAGCTAATCATGTAGTCTAATACCCATCATCTCACATTAGACAAGAACAAGACTGTAGTCTTACCAATGTTCTTTCTTTATCATCAGTACTGAATATTTGATTTTAATAGTAAATGAAGAGCTACATTAATACTGACCCTGAAGTTGTCTTAGTATTCCTAATTACAGACTGAGAAAAAACTAATCCTGTATATTCTAGACACTGATACAGAACTCAAGTAGTGTTTTTAATTTAAGAGACAGATACATAATTTTAGAAATAAAAATTTAAAGTCAGAATTTCATACCTTGTGCAAGCATGTTAAATTCCAAGAACAGTGCTATGTGGTAAAGTTCCATGGCTTCTTCTGCCCTGGTCATGTTTGGTTTCCCTGTGACGAGAGCCTGAACTTCACTGAGACTTCCCACAGAAGGGCTACAGTGCAAAACAGAGAGGTCCACTACGTCGGTATACATACAGTGTAATATCACTTTTGCATATTTTTTTGGTATAATGGACTCATCTAATATAATTCTTGTGGGAGTTCTCAAAGTTCGGTCTGTGATTTCTTCACCAGTCCGTATCCTCCTTTGTAATAAATTTCGGAAAAATGGGGACCGTGCAGAAATAATAGCCTTGTGGGCTTTGAGCTCTTCATCTAAACAGTTCTGATTGCCACCAAAAGCTTCAACTAGTTCAGAATCTGAAGAAAAACTAAGGACGACATCATAATAACACATGTAATCAAAGAGTCCACGCATATCTACATCAAGGGAATTTGGTGTTCCAAATTCTTCACTAAGCTGGACAAGGATATCGACATTCTGAAACCTTGAGTCCTCCATTCCAAATTCTCCCGTATAAAGGTAGTGTAACAAGGCAGAAAACATGGGCATATCAATACCAGCTGTACTGATGTCCATTACTATCTCTGCCCCATATTCAGGTGAGGAAGAAAGCAGTGTTTTAAAAAATGGACACCTTGCTGCCAAAATGGCACGATGAACAGGAAAACACGTTTCTTGAAATATTAAGTCCACATCGGTACAGTACTTGTACTCATAAAGGTCAGCCATATCCTTTTGCAGTGTCCGGGCTTCAGGTCTGGCCAAACTGGCTTGCAGAGAAAGCTCCTTTAAGGCTGAAGTTCCCTCATACTCCTCTACTAGTGCATTGACATCTCTCACATCCCACCCGGAGAGGAGTTCTCGCATCTGCTTGGCATGATCAGCTGACCTATTTGATTTTCGGCGTTTAATAAATTTCTTTTTGAGGGTGGCAAGGCCAGACGTTCTCTTTTTTTTGTCTTGTGGTTTCTCGTGGCCATGGTCAAGGCTATACAACTTTGATTCACAACCATAGCCTTGCTGAGAATAGGATGATGTTCCTAAGAAGAAAATTAAGCAAATCATAATAATTTCTTAGCATTCACTATCATATTAACATATTTCATGCCTAAAATTATTACAAACACATTCTGATACAACTCAGATAAAACTGAACATTGTTTTTCCCGAATGCGAATAACACATTTTTATATTAAGAAAGAGGGCTGGGCATTGTGGTGCACCTCCTTGTAAACCCAGCACTTTAGAGGCTGAGGCTAAAGGTCAAGAGTATAACAACCTAGACTGGAGAGTTCAAATAAAGGTAGGGAGGTGTGTACGTGTGCATGTGTGTGTCTGAGTGTGCTTGGGGAGGAAATCAGGGAAGATGGCTCAGTGGATCAGGTGCTTGCTCTGCAAGCATGAAGACCTAACTTTGGCTATCCATCAAACACATAAAAGCTGGACAATGCACAGTGTTGGGAAGCTGGAGACAAGCAGATTCCAGGGGACCACAGGCCAACCAGTGTAGCTAAAACATGAGCTCTGGGTTTCAGTGACAGACCCATCTGCAGGTAGAGGGGCTAGTTACAGAACTGCTGTTCTTACAGAGGTCCTGGGTTAGGTTCCCAACCCCCACAGAAGATGGCTCATGACCACCTGCAATTCCAGTTCCAGAGGATCCAACATCCTTTTGTGGACTCTACATGCACTTGTCACACAAACATATATGCAGGCACAAACACATATACATAAAATAAAATAAATAAATCTTAGGTCAAATGAAGTGGAATGTGATTAAGGAAGACATCTGATGTCAATGTCTGCTTCCCTGTGTAACCCAGGCAAATATATCTACACACCCATGTGTACACCACACACACACACACACACACACACACACACACACACACACACACACACACACACACAAAGAAATAAATCTATTTTAAAAGGGCCAGAAAAGTGGCTCAGTGGAAGTCACTTGCAACCATACCTGATGTCCTGAGTTTGATTCCTGGGACCCACATGGGGATTAAGAGAGAACTGACTCTCACAAAGTGTTCTGACTTTTATGTGTGTGTCATGAATACCCCCACCACAATAAAGTGTTCTGTAACAATTTTTAATAAAAAGGAATGTAATGAGGGAAGAAGGAAAGGAAAGCAACAAACAGAAACAAAAATTTGTCTGAATTTTAAAAAATGTCTTTGGTTTTCTGGCAATCAAGAACTATATTAAGGCCTCACACATGGATTTTTAGGAAATGAGAGGCAATTTGCAAATTAAGAATATTGTCTGTAATTGTTAAATGTTTTTCTCTTCAACCACACTAAGGCTATATTTATAACAAGCCTGATTAAGACTGGGGTGAAGGCAGGGAACCCAGACACTACAGAATTATTACCTATAATACTTTTTCTATGGCTCAGCAGGCTTTTCAGCTACAAAGATAACTATTAACACAATCTATTTACAGTTACAATAGGAAATAAAATTAACAAATGCAAAGTTACCTATGAAAGTCTGCTGGGCCTGTGAATTTCCCCCTACCCGTGGGGAGCATGAATGAGGATAGCTAGATGCATTAGCACCCATTTTCTTCAGTCACTCCGGCATTCCATCTGCTGGCTCTTCAGAGTGTAATTCCAGAGGCCTTTACGAACCTTCAACCCAGGATCCAGGAGTCTCTTTTCATCCATTTCTTGATGGAAACAAAGATAAATTATTTGATTTAAATATATCTTAAACCAATAAAAAAATTAAAATTAAAAAAAGGCTACCAAGGGATAGAGAGATGGCTCAGCTGTTAAGAGCACTGCCTGCTCTTCCAGAGGATCTGAGTTCAATTCTCAGCAACCACATGGCAATTCACAACTGTTTGTAACTCCAGGGACCAACACCCTCTCACAGACATACATGCAGGCAAAACAATACTGAACATAAAAACAAAAATAAATCATAAAAAGCTACCCCAAATTTTCTTTGCATTTTCTTTGTAAATAATATACTGTCAAGTTCATACATTTTTTATTTTTATTTATTTATTCTGACTTTTTGAGATAGAGTTTCTCTGCATAGCCCTGGACATCCTGGAATTTACTCTGTAGACCAGTCTGCCCTCGAATTCAGAGATCCATTTGCCTCTGCCTCCTAAATCCTGGGCTTACAGGAACCACACCTTTAATCCCAGTACTTGGGAGGCCGAGGCAGGTAGATCCCTATGAATTTGAAGCCAGCCTGGTCCACGCAGTGAGCTCCAGGTCAGCGAAGGAAAGATATATTAATAAATTACACATAGAATAAAAACATCATGAATATCAAGTATACCAAAAACTTTATAAGAGCATCTTTGAACGTGGAGATGGATGTGAGAAGGACAGGTCAGTGTTCAAAGAGTGTAGTGACATGATACCGTCACAAGCTGGAATTGATTCTTGCTTCCTTTACTCATTCAAAGTTCCATGTTGGTTATAATTTTGTTTTGATTTTTACCTTCTACTAATTACTGTTAAACATATCAGCTGGGTGGGAAAATTTACACAGAATGAACAAACAGTTGAATGAAAAATTAAAAAAAATAACATATATGCCAACTCTTCTTTTCCAGTGATCCATCAAAGTCTAAGTTAACATTCCCCAAATTTGGAAAATGTAGGGTTAAGAAAGCCAGAGGTTCCTTTACAGGACTTTTCAGTTCCTTCAATGTATTAAGGTATACCGAGAGGAGGAAGTATTTGACATGATCTAAAGGAACCCTATTGCTCTACAGAACTCCAAAGAAATTAACTTCAAAATGCAGTCTGGAAAAAAAAAAAAAAGCTGACTGCAGCTATAAAAACATTTTACTGCTTTTAGTAGAAGCCAGACAGTAGAAGCTTGTGATATCAGGGCTGTATTCTGTCATTGATCATCACATACATGAGACTGAATTTTGATGGACCTTAGTTTCTGCACCTATAAAATAAGAAGGTCGAAACAGGGTCTCTAAAAGTGAAGCTGTATAACACTGACTTGGGAAATGAGGATGGAGAAGAGATTTATTTTTATATTAATTAGCTTATGGAGAAAAAAGGGGGGGGTACTTGGATTTTGAGTTTCAAAGGGATAGAAGCATGGAGACATGGAACAAATGTGACTACGAAAAGCAATTCATAGTGAAAGAGAAATGTAAACTACAGCGAAACTTCAATCCTGTCAAACTGAAGTTGATCATACAATATATCACTTAATCCGGGATGTTTAAGGATAAAAGGGGGTACAAACCAGACAGGACACTGGAGCATGCATAACTCAGATCTGACTAACTGAGCATAAATGTTCACCCCACAGTCAAATCTTACATTTCTAGACCAGCTAGAAATAAAGATTAAAACAGAAAGGAACCCCATCCCCAGAAACAAACTAACAACCTGAATTTACAATTCTCTACACCCTTCTACTACCAGGTTTTACCTAATATAACAACTCACATTTGTTGAAGGTTTACTCCCTGTCAAACTCTAGTTTTAAAGTTTATATTGGAATTAGTTTATCTCATTCTTCTACTTTCTACTGAGCAGACACAATGCCAATAGAATGAAAGAGCCAGAATTGTTTCTATTTCTCCTACAAACCTTCAGTTCTATACTAGGAAACATTTTAAGAACAACTAGAAAGGGGTTGGGGAGATGCCTCAGCAGTTCAAAGAGCACTTACAGCTCTTGCAGAAAATTGAGTTTGATTCCCACTGCTCGCTTCTGGCACTTTACATTCACCTGTAACTGCAGTTTCAGGGAATCATCAGCCTGACTACTGGAGCACAGATCAGGAAGAAAGCTGCACCATTACATTTGTGGGTTTTTTTGTTTTGTTTTGTTTTGTTTTGTTTTTAGAGACGGGGCTTCCTCTGGCTGTCCTGGAACTTGCTCTGTAGATCAGGCTGGCCTTGGAACTCACAGAGATCCGCCTGCCTCTGCTAGGATTAAAGGCATGCACCACCAACGCCTGGCTATTTTTGCATTTCTATAGGAGGAATTTGTACAAATATACACAAAAGTGGAGAGACTAGTCCCATCAGGAAATTTCAAAATTAAGTGAATTGTAGCAATTTCTTACCAATTTTAACAGAATCTCCCCCCTCTAGTCCTGAATAATTCTGACACTCTCAGATAGACTATGATTATTTCATTTGTAAATTCTGTATATATAATCTCTCATAGGAAAGATACTGTTAGTTATCTTCAACTAACAGTAATTCCTTAATAAGTACTTCTCAGACAATACTCATATTTTCTTACTTTTCTTAGTTTGAATCAGGGTCTAAAAATGGTCCACAAACTGTGAGTGTAATGATGGCTATGAACCTAAAATCTCCTTCAAATGCTTCTCCCTCTGTGTCTCCATTTCCTCCATGTAATTTTCTGATGTTTATTAGAGATAAGGTTATCTTACAGTGCCTCAGTTTGGATTTTGTCAAATCACTTCAGTGAGATTTAATATAAAGGTCCTCTGGCTTCTTTCACAATGAGCTGATTTCTAGAGATGTGGTCAGATTCAGTATCACTCTTGTTTGTTTTTACGTGAGAGTGAATGTGGGCACAGGTATGCCAAAGCACATGTGTCTAAGACAGATAGCCTTTGTGTTGGTCCTCCCCTTCCATTTTAAGACAAGGTCCTTTCTTGTCTTGTTATGTAAGCCAGGCTAGCTGCCCTGAAAGCTTCCATCTTTCCTGTCTCCACCTCCCATCTCTTAGTAGGAGCGTACTGGGATTAGAAATGCTTGTGCTACCAGGATCTGAAGTCAAGTCATTAGGCTTGTGTGGGCAAGTTCTTTACCCACTCAGTCATTGCCTCAGCCCTCAATATTATTACTGTATCAACATATGTGTGCATTTATTTAGCCAAGACTGACGCTCAGGTAATTGTCATTGTTTTTGTCATTTGACATAAACCTCAACATACATGGGAATAGAGAATCTCAACTGACCAATTGCCTTCCTTTATCAGATGGGCCTGTGGCCATTTTTTTTTTTTTTATTGCAGACTGATAGGGGAAGGCCTGGGCTACATAAGAAAGGTAACTGAGCAGACATGGAATCAAGGCAGTAAGCAGTGTTCCTTGGTGGTCTCTGCTTTAGTTTCTTCTACCTTGAGTTCCTTCCTGCCCTGGCTTCCCTCAATGATAAGATGAAACTTACTTCAGTTGGCACAAAATATCTACTTAATTCTCAATCTTTAACAGTCACCAGTAATCACTAACTGAAGTCATTAATTTGTTAGGGATAGCAAAATGGTGACCTATCTCTCCTTTAATCATTAGCTGGAAGAATTCTGTAGAACTTGTCAATTATTCAATTGGCTAGTTCTAAAATTTGTATAGAAGGGGCAGAATATTCTTTGCCAGTGTTTACTAAGTTTGAAAACAATCAGTAACAAATAAGTTTTTCATTGTCTTTAAAGGTGGTCAGTGAGAGATACTTTGAAGCTTTTAAAATATATTTTAAGAGTTCATGAATCCACACATCTGACACATTCTAATTCCTTGTAACTACCATCCAATGTTACTCATACTGGCTCCTGAGATGTGTAACATTAATTCTTCCCTTCTGGCAGTTTCTTTACTTTCTGGATCCACATGCTGTATAACATGGCTGGGCTGGGGCTCTCAATCATCTTACCTCAGCCTTCTGCATGTTATGATTACAGGTTGCACTAACAAACTCAGTTTAGTTAATTGACAGTATCAATATTAAAGCTACAAACAAAGTATTTTCAAAATGACTATTATATCTTTACCCACTCTATACTAGATTTTCCTTTATCATACATAATCTTACTTATACTTTTATATATAATAACTCCAAATCCTTTTTTGAGTACTATTTCCTTACAATATTGAAGTTAGTAACTCCTCCTCTTATGTCTCGTGCTTCAGTATCTAAATATATTTTTGTTTATAACTGCTAGATACGGACAATTATTGCACTTATTCTAATTTTTCAAGTTCTCTCTTTTGGTATGTGTACACATTATATAGGAAGCATGCATATATGTGGATGCATGCAGAGGACAACAGAGGTTGACAATGGGTGTCTTCAATTGCTTGCTACTTTTTTTTTTAGACAGGGTCTGTCTATGTAGCCCTTGGCAGTCCTGGAATTCTTTATGTAGACCAGGCTGGCCTCAAACTCATAGAGATCCACCAGTCTCTGTCTCCGTAGTGCTGGGATTAAAGGCATGAGCCATTATGCCCGGTTCTCACTGAACCTGGACTTCACCTGCTCAGTGAAGTTAGTTGGCTGGTGAGCAAACCTCAGTGATTTTCCTGTCTCCACCTCTCCAGAGATGTAATTGCAAGCACCTAGTTGTTTATGTGGGTGCTGAGGATCTGAATTCAGGTCCTCATGCTTGCTTGGTTGAGCCATCTCTCGCCCTTGTTTATTTTGTCATTGAGTAGCTCTGGCTGGCATCCAGCTTGCCACCGTCTATCTGTCTCTGTCTCCTGAGTGCTGGAATTTTAAGTGTATGCCCACATGCCCAGCTTTCTCTCCAGTTTTAATAATTAAACTTACAGAATTAAACTATTGAGTGATTATATATTAAACTTTGTTTCATACCTTAGTTCTACCAAAAAAAGAGGCATTTAATGTTTATGACCTGTTTAAAGCTCTGAACACAGCTATTAAAAATGTCACAATTCTTGCTGGGTGTTGGTGGCACACA